GGGGGGGGGGGGGGGCGGGTGGGAGACCGGGGAAGGGGCCGCAGATCAGGAGGCTTTCCCGAAGGGACCGGGGAAACGGCAGGCACCGTCGGGGAGCTGGCACTAGCCCGCAGACCCCGGCCGTTGCCCGTCCCCATCCCCACAAAGTCCAGGACCCCCGACTCGAGCGGCGCGACCCTCCCTTCGCAAAGATCATCGCTGAAGCGGGGGGTTCGGGTAGTTTTTTTGTCCTTCCCTCCCTCCCCACCGTCTTTACTCTTTCCCCCGTTATAAAAAAAAAAACAAACCAAAAACACCCACCTTTTGGTTTAGGTGTGGCTTTAAAAGCATACGGCGCCCCCTCTCCCCCCCTCCTCCAGTGGGTCCGAGCGAGGGAAGGCGCGTCAAAGCGGTGGGGCAGCGGCGGGGGGAGAGCCCGTCCGTCGAGGGGTGGAAAACCGGGGGGTCCCGGAGGGTTCCCAACGCCACCTGCCGTTCCCTTCTCCCCGAGCCTGACGGGGACTGTCCCTTGCATTTCCAGCACCCAAGGTCTGCGACGCCTGCAAAAACAAAAACGAGGACGATAACGACATTGTGGAAAACCTCTGCAAAAATGACTTCGGTAAGTGGGAGCGGAGCCCCCTCCGTTGAAACTCGAGAGTTGAGGATCAGGTAAAAAAGTCCCAGTGGAGTCAGAGAGAGATGTGCCTGAATAAAGGCAGGGCTTTGTCTTATCTGCAGATGGACCCGTCTGATCGTCGGGTCGTGAAACACAAAATTCCACCTCAGAACAAGAAGTGGCCCTTTTTACAGTCCCTTCTCTGTTTGCTGTTTCGAAGTAGTGCTCTTTTATGTGGATGTTGCTGGAAAGTCGAATAGAAAGTAAAATGAAAAAAAAAAAAAAATCTTTCATCCAGACTATTGCCTGGGAAGAAGTAGAGCAAAGCTTCATTTAGACGTATGAGAAAGAGCCGCATGACCAATCTCATGTATCGTAAGAAAGACTCTCTCCACAGATTAAGAATGAAGCTCTATATATCATTTGACAGAGAAGGTAATGCACAGACAATTGGGGATATAAACTTAATGGGAAGATCTGGGGTTAGAAGGGGACAAGAAAGCCCCTTGGACACAGACAACTGAACGGCACATTATCCACACATTAGCATTTCAAGAGAAAAAGGGAATAAGGAGGGGAATCCTTTTATAATAGGTCAGTGTTTATACCTGGAAACATATTTGTAGTATAAATATCTACAACAATTGAAAAGTCTTTCTTAAAAAAAAATAAAATAAATAAATCCACCACCCAAAACCTGAAACCATGACTGTGGGACATAATTGTTAAAACAACCAATAGCTTTGGCCTGGCAAATTGCACTCAGATAAATCCTCCTAAAGCTAAACATGCCCCACAGATTCTTACAGAGCCCTGTATCCCCCTCCTAGTTATTTTACCAAATCGAATGCAGCTGTTGGACCAATTTGCCCTCCACGGGATCTATTCTTTCAAAAAAACAATGCATGTGAAATATCATTTCCTTACAGGTTTGCCTAAAATCCTCTCCAGCCTAATAAATTTAGTTTAGAAGTTTTCAGCCACAGCAGAGATCAGGTTTCAGATTAGGTCTAGGTACTCGCCTCCCCACCTCCCCTTCAAACTCCAGTTTCAGGAAGACTGTCTTCTCCCAGCAAAAAAACGGAGCGCTGCTTAATGTAGCAAACCGGCCCCCTCTCTGTTTGCAAACAGGAGGAAAGCCTGAGAAAATATTAATTTAGAAAGGAAGGAAAAGGAGGAGGAGGGGCAAGAGGAGAAAAGAAACCCCCAGAACCTCAACCCTAAGGTTGATTCAAACTGGAATGACTTGCATGCCCTTTGTGGCTTTAGAAATGGAGCCACCTGCTGCCTCTTCTGTCAGCCCTGACAGTTTAATTAGCAATAGAGCACCTCCCTCCCCAGGTCCTCTTTATGTGCACTAATGGGAAAAAACCTCTCAATCTCTCTCCCTCTCTCCCTCATCCCGCTTCCCCCCCCCCCCCCCCCCCCTT